GAGGATTGATCCAAGAGGGGTGGGGAGTGTGTGAGGGACAAGGAGCAGGACAGCTCGATTCCCAGGGGTCTGGCTTAGTCAACAAGGGTACCATGATGCCCCCTTCTCTCCTGAGCAGCAGGCTAGAGACATGGATTTGGGAGCTTCAGGCCATTGGGTGATAGTTGAAATCAAAATTGTCCATAGAAGAGGGAAACTGAGGAGAGAAGACAGTGATCCCTGGGGAACAATTTTGCTGTGGGCAGAGGACAAGAAACCTATAGCGGTGACTAGGAAGGTGTAGCCAGGGAGACAGGAGGAAAAACCAGAGTAGGGAATGTTCTGGGGAAAAAAAGGAGGTGTACTTTCCCAGCCAGGCAGTCAGCAGAGCCACGTGCTTTGAACGTAAGTGAGATGAACAGAAGGAGGTTCTCACTCTGACTGGTGAGGCAATGAGGGGTGCAGTAGCCCAGGGGTGAGCGGGTTACCTGAGCAGCAGGGGCTAACGTCAGGTTACAACAGTTATGTGGAGAGGCTTTGTTCAAGACTCTGCCTGGGGAGGAGAGAGAGAGTGAGAAAGGAAGGACAGCGTCTTAAGGGAGAGAGCCTTGGGGTCAGTGGGAGTGGTGGGTGCATTCAGGAGACTTGAGAATGACCCTATTCTGCAAGGAAATTGTGGAATTAAAGCTCACACACCCTGTGTATTTCAGTCTTTCTCCTCCTCACTCAAGGCCAAGGGCAGTGCTCCACGCACTAGGAGCCCTCAGTTGACCTCAGTCCCTTAATTGACAGACATTTGGTCATTTGCCACCCCAGCACAAGGAGAGACAAACAGTAATCTGGCCCCTGGGAGGGATCAGCCACTGTGTCTGCTCAGAGGGTTCACCTTCATAATCCTAGAGAAAGCGGCACCCTGGGAAGAGGCAGTCCTGGGTCACCAGCCTGAATTCTCAGGGGTTTGGAGAATTTGGTCCCTTCTGCGAGCCCCTGTTTTATCCACTCCTATCCCCAGGGGGTGCTCCTGGGCTGCCCTGCAATTCTGTCAAACCACAGGACTAGTCACCTGGCAAAACTCAAGTACTTACCAGTTCAAGACTGGTTGCCCACATTTCTTACTGTTGTTTTGTAACTCGATCCTGGGATCCATGTCTTCCTCTTGCAATTTTAGTTTAACCTTCCCAAGAGCTGACTGCTTCTAGAGGAAGCACCAGGAGTCAACCCCACCTCCCTGATTCATGCACCACCAGTCCCCTGACCCCAGGGATGCTGTCACAGGCTCAGGGGTTAGCCCTGCAGGGGTCCCTTCTCCCCAGCTGGGGACCCCACTTTGGGGTGGCTTTGCAGGGCACAAAGGTGTCCAGTCCCCATTCTGCTCATGAAGCAGTGAGCCAAAGGATCTCCTTCTGCCAAGACAAGGCTTTCTTTTTAAATTTGAACAAAACCAACTTCTAGACTATCAGGTGCTTCTGCCTGCATCCCCCAAGTTTCCCAAACTATAGGAGCCTCATCAGGCCCCTCCCAGCGAAAGAGGCTGATTGAGGGGAAGGATTAGGGCTATAGGTGGAGGGCAGGAGGTCCTCACTGCCACTTGACTTAGGCAGGACCTGGACCAGACACAAGGGCCAAAAATTCCCACCCTCCTCTCCTGCTGCCCAAAGACTGAACCCTTTCCCTTGAGAAAGTCACCTTTTCCTTCCTTGGAAGAGATGAAGGGAGTCTCTCCCTGGAAGAGCAAGGTGGAAGGAGAGAGGTACCGAGGAGACAAAAGATTTACCTGCCACCAAAGCCTCCATTTCTGCATCTATCAATGACAGAAAATTTTGGCTCAGAGTAAGAATTCAAAAAATGGTGCATCCCTGAGGTTTTGCTGGGTCTGACCTGTCTCGCTTATCAGAGCAGCCTCCTGAGGCAGGATTGGAATGAAGGAAGCCAAAAACCTCTGGCCCCAGGTGGGAAAAGGTCAACTAGAGCTGAGGAGCCCAGTTCCTTCAGGTCCTCCCTTAAAGGCCCTTGCAACTCTCAGGGGTGGGCAGGACATAAGACTGAAGTAGGGTGGGTGATAAAGCCATCCCTGCTCTGCCCTGCACGGAAGCTTCCCACCAGAGCTCTGCAGCAGCCCCAGTGAGGCAGGCAGCACCAGGGGCAGTAGTTCTACTCCCAGTCCAGTTGGGCTGAGGGGGTTTGGCCAATGTCATGTGGTTAGTGGGGACAGTGAGAGCCAGAAAGAGGACCAGACTTTTGACCACATCTCATGCTCTTTCTAGTTGTAGCTGGGCATGTGGTCTCTCCTGTTACAACTCGGACCAGTGTCACCTTACACAGGCCAGTGGTTCTGTTGGGTGTCCCATGGGGCTTTGTTTTAAAATCAGATCCCAAGCCTTGAATTCAGAGATTCTGATATCTGGGGTCTCCAAGAGAAAAACCCGGAATTTAAAACAAAAGCTCCTGGTGTTGCTGATGCAGGAGTCCTCACCTGCACATTGGCTAAGTCAGCCTATATTCTCAGGCAGGTAGAGAGGGTGGAGCAAGTCCCTGTCTCTGTGGAGAGGGGACTTCTCAGAAACCATGTTTGGGGATAGGACGGTTGCTACAGGGAATAAGCCAGTGGGTGGCTGTTGCAGAGTTGGGCTCCCACTCTGGCTCTGAGCCTGACCGGAGCAGCTGACTCCAGGCCACACTTCTGAGGTGTGTCCCCAGTCCTCTCTACAGCTGCCTTTTACTGCTGTTTCCAACATAAGCCTCCTAGAGATGAAAGTAGAGTGGAGACTGCTGGGAGCTGGGGAGGGGAGAATGGGTACAGAATTTCAGTTTGGAATGATGAGGAAGTTCTGGAGATGGGTGGTGGGGATGATTGCACAACCACGTGAGCAGGATATGGCAGAACTGTGCACTAAGAGTGGAGAAAGTGGATAAGCTCCCTGTGGTGTGTTTTACCCCAATTCTAAAAAAAGAAGGAAGAGGAGAAACAACAGCAGCAATCATATTTGGATGGACATGTTTTGGTTTCTATTAGCCTGGTCTTTTTGCTTTGAGAACCCCAGAATTAGGATTTTGGGGTGGATGTGGTCAATGTAGCATTTCAGAGGAAACAAGCACCATGTTTCAAGTTCAGCCAACTAGAGGGATTAGATTACAACAAAATAACCAAGACAATATGTGGTGATCTTACCCAGCTGGAGTCCACCATGCAGAGTGGAAAGCCTCTGGTCCCAAATGCTGACCTCTTTACTAACTGCCTGTGTGACCTTGGGCGGCTTCCTTAAACTCTCTGTAAACTGAGAATCACATGCAAGGAGGGCTGGCCCAGGGGTCTGGCTCTTATTGGCATATACACATGGCAGGTGTTATTCTCATCAATAACTGAAAGAATTGTATCACCTAACCACCTCTCCATCAGAAGGGGAAACTGAGGCCCAGAGAGGGGATTCAATTCCCATTCCTGAACTGTAACCTCAAGATATCTTGGGTCCCCACCCAGATCTCTTCAGCCCTTAGGAGCTGTCTTGAAGCTAAGCCTGGCTGAACAAACTCAGATACTGGCAAGTATAGAGGAATGGCTATCAGGCTGCCACATGTTCCCTTCTACATTCAAAGAAGGTGACATAACTGGCTGCCACCAGGGTCCCCCTTCTCATCCCTTCATGGAAACCAAGATAGTCCCTTAAGGGGAAAAGCAGATTTTACCAGCCAAGTCTTTTTTCAGCATAGGAAGCTGGTGACCCGTGGACTCACACAGCTTCCCTGGGTTCAGATGGCTGGCCTGGTGCCAAGGCACATGGAAGGAGGACACCATCCAGTGTGAATTAAAGTCATCATGACTCAAGGGAGAGCCTGCAACAAATGCACTAAGATAGCTTTTAAGAACCTTCTCTGGGGGAAGGTGCCCTGTGGTGGAAAAACCACTCCCAAAGGCAGTGATATTAGGAAGAATCCACTCAGGCGTGCACTGGTTCACTCACAATGCACACCACGCAGGGCTGCACCGTGCCAGGGAGGAGGAACGGGAGGGAGAGGTCACATGGTCTCTCAAGCCTTCACTAAGGGATGGGGTGGGTGATGACAAGACATGACACAGAGCTATGGGAGCATGGTGTACAAAGCCACAGGAAAGAGATACCCAGGGAGCCAGGAGGATGGGAAAGAGCTTCACAGAAGTGACTTGAGGCTAGAAGGACAAGGGGGGAGAGGACACAGACCAAGATGCTCTAACAAGAAAACCAAAAGCATGGGCTTCAACAAGGCAAGGTTCATATCTTTCATGGAAGGCCAATTTTCGGGGTAGGCAATTAAGGCTGGTGGTGGCTGGGGGCCTGGTTGAAGATGGCTCCCCACCACACCCAGATGCTCATATTCTAGTCTTTGGGAAGAAGGAAAGAGGAAGAAAAGCAGAGCCTGGTCTATTGAAGGGCACAATCCAGAAGCTATGCACAGTGCTTCTGCTCAATGGCTATTGGTCAGAATCTAATCACATGCCCACTCCTGATGCAAGGACAGCTGGGAAATGTAGTTGTTAGCTGGGCAGCTGAGCCTCACCTGCAATCATCCTAAGATGGGCAAGATATGGGGGGAGTCAACCCTCAGCCTCTACCACATGCAAAAACAAGGCAATAAGAAAGAGAGTTTCCATGATCAAAGATTTGTAAGGAATTTTGTGTTATAATGGGAGTGGCAGGAGATGACGTTGGAGAGGGAGCGAGACATGGTCCTGTGATTCATTCTGAGGGAATCGGAGTATGTTCTGTGTACTGTGAGCTCTGAAGGGTTTTGAGTGAGGGCTGACATGAATGGTGGCCAGGAGTGGCACGAATATGTGTGGGAGGGGCCAAGCCTGTGAGCAGAGGGGCCACCATGAGACCTGGAGGTGGGCACTCCACTTGCATTGGGGATGGGGAGGGCATGGGAGTGGGGAAGGCATATCGCTGAATGCAGAAACGCTGCTCTGGGTTCTGAGCTCTGGAATCTTCTCTGCTGCAGGGAGGCATTGCAGAACAATAACCATTTTTCTCACTTCGTCTCCTCAGACTGTTCTACGGATCGTGGTCCTGGGGATCTGGGATTACATCGAAAACAAAATAGAGGTAAAGATCAGTGGCTTCCCCAACCCCCAATCCAGACATCCTGGCTGCTGGAAAGTGTCACTGTCCCACTCATTGTAGTGTGGGAACCATCAAAAGGCTCACCTCCTCTCTGCCCTTGACTACAAGAGTCTCCTCAGCTGTGCACATGGGATGGGGTGAGGAGGAGGTGGAGGCTGGGAAGGAGTGAGCCGAGATGGTTTCAAGCAAAAGAACATTCTAAAACATTCTCCTTGAAGTTCTACAAGCATTTAAAATTTATTCTTGGGCTGGGGGTGTAGCTTGGTGGTAGAGCATCTTCTCAGGATGCTTGAGGGGGTGGGATCCATCCCTAGCACAATAACAACAACAAAATTATTTTTGAATCAACTTGAAAATTTTTTGAAATGCGTTTTAAAACAAATAATTCCATTCCAAAATGACACAGTGGTCAGGAGCTGCACAGGGAAACTAAAAGTCCCTCTCACCTAGGTTTCTGCTCTGCTTCAGGTAAAAGGGGCTAGGTGGGGGGCAGGGTAGAGATGAGGTGCAGGGAACCCTGGCTGTTGCAGGCAGTTTTGTGCACTCAGGCCAATGCAGGGTATCCAGGGTCTGCTGCCCTCTCCTTCCTCGCCTCAGGCCCAGTGCAGGAAGCTGACTTGAAGAGCCAGCCTGTGAACAGCTCTGGCCAGGGCCAGGCTGGGGCAGGCAAGGGAGGGTCAGGGCCCAGTGGTGCCAGCTGGGCCCCCTCCTTTCTTAGCCCTGCCCCCATTCTCCATGGGGTTAGGAACTCTGAACCTGTTAGAGATGACATGTGGGCCCTGGACTCCAGCTACCCATGCAGAAAGAAGAGCCCCCCACACCTACATCAGCCCCCACCTTGCCAGGGATTCAGTTCAGCTTCTGCCCAGGGTCCAGAGCACAGAATGCAGGCCCCATCCTGAGAAGGGACAAAGACTGACCAAGGCCACCTGAACCAAGAGCTGGAGATGGGCTGCAGTCACTTGGAGGACCAAATGCCTGGGAGCAGCTCAGTGAGGAGGTTCCTTAGGACTGAGAAGGGTCAGGAGAGGCAGCTGGAGACCGTTGACCTTCTGACAGGCTCAGGCCCCCTGGAGAAGATGACCAGCACCAACTGCCTGCCAGGCTGCTCTCTGGTCCTGGACACGTGGCATGGCCCAAAGCACTGAAATATGCTTCCTTTTGCAGGTGTTTGACGGGGCTGTGATCATCCTGTCCTTGGCCCCGATGGTGGCGTCTACCGTGGCCAATGGGCCCAGGAGCCCCTGGGATGCCATCAGCCTCATCATCATGCTCCGGATCTGGCGTGTGAAGAGGGTCATTGACGGTGAGTGGCCTGAGAGGGGCCAGTGAGACTGACAGAAACCAGATCAATCAACTGAAAGAGGAGAGAGCCCTGGGGGGCAGGGGTGTCCCCATCCTTGTTGGGGGGCATGTCAGCAGGGAGAGAGCCAAGCCTGCCCCTGCCATGCAGCATTGTGTATTTGGGATCCACTCACACACTGCTCAGGTGTCGCATGTGCACACCTGAGTTTCCAAACACCCCTTGAGAGGGTGCTCGTTCATTCTGACCCAACCATGTATGTGTGCCCGCATGGCCAGCCCCTCTCATAAGAGCTTCCAGCAGGGCCTGCCATGCTGGGAAGAGCAACTTTTTATAACCCAGGTGTTTTGACGCACAGCTGCTGCTGCCCCCACACCCCATGGCCCACAGAGTCAGTGGTGAGTCTGTCCAGGTCATTAAGTCGAGGCTTGCCCCTGCCGGGTCTGTGTCTCTCAGTGACAAGGTGGGTGCCCCGAGAGCCTGTCCACCTGCCAACAAGCAGAAAACATCCCCATGGGAACGGCTGGCTCAGGCTGGGTTAGGGCCGGTGCTTCACTCATTTCAGCATCTTCCTATCTCTGGGTTTTCATTCCCAGAAAGAGTCTGATCTGCTCCGGTTTTGGCGCTGCCTTTGCTCCTGTCAAGGCAGAGGCTGCCCTTCCCATTCAGCCACTCGTCCCTAGAGAGCTGTGCCCAAATCTGGGCAGCTCTAATATTCTAGAATTGGTGACAACCCAGAGGAGAGAAGCCTTGGTGGGGAGGGGACTAGAAACCTCAACCCCGAAAAATGGTGTGGGGTGTTGGGATGGGGACACAGAGGACAAAGACACAGGAAGGGGGGCTGACATCATCTCAGGGAGGAGGGAAGACCCAGGTCTCTGGATTTCAGAGGGTGCTCCTTGGTTGCAGAGGTCATGACAAGGAGGTCCACCTTCTGTCAACCACATTAGGTACAGAGCCAACCACAGAGGTGCTGTCTGACTTTCCCAGCAAGGTCCCCTCCTGGAGTGACATGGAAATCCTGTCACAGTGATTCCCAAATTTTATCTTTTTCAGTGCCAAAGTCACTGGTGTGTAAAGTGGAGCTGCTTTGGTTGAATCAGAGAAGACAGCCCAGAGCGCACCTCCATGCCCTCTCCTTGTCCCCAAGGCACCTCTAAGGAGCAGTTGGGGCACAGTTTAGAACCACTGGGATAGATGTCAAGGTGTTTTCCAGCCCTGAATTTTGACTGCTAATGATAGGAACTGTGGCTATGAGATTGGCCAACAGCATTTGCCCAGCACTTGAAGGCAAGCAGGGATAGCCTTCAGGGTTTCCCCTCCCCAGGAGGGCAGCCTCTCCCTGGTCCCCACCCTCCATCCCACCCTGTGAACACACATCGATCCTGGTTTCCTCACTGTCAGCTCATCTCCAACACAGAATCTTCATCAAACTCCAATGAGCCGTGGTCCAGCTTCGGAAGGCAGGGAAGGCTCTGGAGATCATCTGGTCCCTTCCCCTCATTTGACAGATGGGGAAATGGAGGCCAGAGGGAATGGGGTCACACGGTGAATCAGGCTCAGAGCTACAAGTGGAGCCCAGGACCTGTGACACCCTCCGGTGCTCTTCTGGTGGTTCACTTCACCCCATCTGCTCAGGGCTGTGCTCTTGGCTCCATCCATGAGAACATCCGCTCCCTTCAGTGCAGGAACGGCGCCTTCTGGCTCCTTCTGCAAGCTGTGAACAGCTGCACACCCTCATACTAATGGATTTTGACAGCCCCACTGTGAACACCCTTCCCAGCTGTTCCCCTTTTTCCCTGACACCTCAGGCACTGGGAGCCTCACAATGGAGACTCACTGGTGAATGCAATGGGTGTTAATTTGCGACTCTCACCCTGGAGTAAACTGGCTTCATCAGGAGCTGGGAGGTGATCGTTCAGGGCAGCTTCTGGACCTGGAGAAAGGTCTCAGGGACACGTGGTATTCTTAAGTCTAGAAGCAATCAGAAAAGTCCTGATTTTCTTCTTTGCATGATGCCTCAAATATCCAGAGAACATCTGGAGTTGGGGATGCCGTGGGTAGAATGGGGTCTTGCAGAGTGTGGACCTGCAGAGTTCTAGAATGCAGTGGCAAGACCAAACACATCTGAGCAAAGTTTCCGAAGAATCAGGAAGGGCTGGGTTCTGAGAAGGGTGAGAAGGGTGTAAAGGTCAGGCAGAGGTCAGGTTAAGTTAATCCTGAGACTTCCAAGGAGCCCATGGCTGCTAAACTCAGAGAACTTCCAAGGGAGGGATGCAGGGGCTGCTTCTAGCATGGGGCCTCATGCTCAGAATCTAGCTTTCTCCTCCGGGTCTTCTGTGTGTATGAGTTATGAGTAGGATTATCTATAAAGGGCCCAGAATAACAATGACATAAACAAAGCAGAAGCTTATTTCTCTCACATGGAAGTCTGCCATCACTACCGACAGGTATTGACATGGCACTCTTTCTCTGCAGTCAAGACCCCAGGCTCCTATTTTGTCACTCTGCTGCACATGGCCTACTTTTCAAAGTCACCTCATGGTCTAAGATGACTGTTCCAATGTTGGACATCACATCCTCATTATAGCCAGTAGGCAGGAGAAAGGAGAAAGAAGATAAGTAAAAGGAAGGCCGACTGCTATGTGTTTATCTATCTGAGAAAGCAGCTTTGGTTGATGGGTTGTCTCCAGAAACCAAAAACACTATGTCCTCATTACCCACATTACCCGCCTCCAGGACCTCACCTTGCTCCACCTGGGAAGGTGATTTAAATTGCCAGTTGGTTTTCCAAGGCCCGGGCCATTCCCCTTCCTGTGCAGCCTAGCATAGCAACCCGGTACTATTTCCCCCCAGCAATGCTTGCTGCAGCTATTAGTAAGAACTAACGTGGATGACGCAGACTTGAAATCCCAGCAACTCAGGAGGCGGAGGCAGGAGGATTACAAGGTCAAGACCAGCCCTGGAAACTTAGCCCGACTCTGTCTCAAAATAAAAAATAAAAAGGGCTGGGGGTATAGCTCAGGAATAGAGCACCCTTGAATTCAATGCTCAGTGTCACACACAGAAAAAGAAGAGGGGAGGGGTGGGGAGAGTTAGATGCATATAAAGAGTGATATGGTGGAGAAACAGGAAGGTAGCCCATTTGTAGCCCTCAGCACTGTGATCTTTCACTGGCTGCAGTGCCCCGTGTGAGATCATGCCTTTCTGAATCAGACCAGGGGTTTCTACTGCCAGCCACGAGATGTGGCAGTCCAAACTTGGATGCCTTCCCAGCCCGTGAAGCTTTGAAGTGATTGTTGAGGTGTATTTCTCCACCCCTGTACACCTTTACTGTCTTTCCATCCAGCAGGGAGTACAATTTCTAGAGCAGTAGTGGAATGTGTGATAGGAATCCCATACTCGATGTCACACTTCTATTTGAAGAGTCATGGGTGTACCAGCAATTTCCAAACCACAAGGTCCCCTTCCTTGTTGGACTCCAGTCAGAACCAATCATAGTCCATTCTTGTTGTCCTCTACATAGTGGAGAAGGGACTGCTATTTCTCCTTCAGTCACTACACCCATAACTCACAATTTTGGGGTCCAGGTACTCTTCCGCTCTGGGATCCCAGACACAACATCACAGGACACGTGTCCTTGTCTGCCATCTTGAGCCAGGGTACAAGAGCTATCTTTTCTTTTTAAACAACTAAATTGAGATGTAATTCTCATGCCATAAAATCTACCCATTTAAAGTAAGCAGCTGAACGATTTTTAGTATACTAATAGTTTTGCAACTAACACCAAAACCTAAGGTTAGAGCATTTTCCTTTCTCCACAAAGAAGCCTGATACTCTTGAGCAGTCGCCTCCATGCCCCTTCAGCCCTGGACATGCATCTGTCCATCTCTGTGAAGTTGCCTACTCTGGGCATTTCAGATATATGATATGTAGTCTTTTATGTCTGGTGGCTTTTGCTTACCATACTGTTTTCAAGGCTCATCTGTGTTGTCACATTTAACAGTACATCATTCCTCCCAGAGTGTCTCCTTGTAGAGACAGGACACATTGTGTCTATCCCTTCATCCCTTGATGAACATTTGGATTGTTGCCACTTTAGGGCTATTATGAATGATGCTGTCAGGAAGGCTCATGTCCAAGTGTTTGTGTGGCTGTATGTTTCCACTTCTCTTAGGTATGTAGGCATAGAATTGCTGGGTCTGATGGCCACTCTCTGCTTAATATTTTGGAGAACTGCCAAACTGTTTTCCAAAGTGGTCACACCCACAGCAATGTACGAGGGTTCCAACACCACTGCACCCCACCAACCCCAGCTGCCTTTTAAGGAAGGCTTCTGGATGCCACAGCATGCCTCCTCCAGTGACACCCCATTGTCCAGAATGTGTCTTGGCCACTGGTAGCTGCACAGGCTGGGGATTACTCATTATTCCAGCAGCTGTGCACACCTCCAAAAATGAAGGGTTTTATCACCATGGGAAAGGAGGAACACGGATCTCTTGGACACCAGAAGTTCAGGTTGTACTTTCTGGGGTACCTAGATGTCCCCCCCTCCCATCTTCAGGGAACTGAGCCAGGGCCTCAGAGCTGATGCTGGCCAAATGGAGGGCCGACTCCTCCCCAGCTTGAGCCCTGCCCCTACCCAGTTCTTCACGGGCTGTCTCTTTCTTCCAGCATACGTCCTGCCAGTGAAGGTGGAGATGGAGATGGTCATCCAGCAGTATGAGAAGGCCAAGGTCACCCAAGACGAGCAGCTGGAGAGACTGACGCAGATCTGTCAGGAGCAAGGGGTAATGCACTGCCACTCTCAGTTCTGTTTTTATGTCTAGGCCTTGCTGGGGACACTGCTGTGCCTAAGCCCATGTCGGAACTCAGGGGCCCATGGCTGGGCTCATGGGGAACCTAAGGCCCAGGAAGGAAAACACATCCCCATGGTCACTGGTGTTCAGCCCAACCAGGCCTGGACTCAGCTCTGACTCCCATGCCAGGGTCCTTGTCATTACACCATGGTGACCCTTCAGCTCCCCAACCTGATCTGCCAAGTTACCAACTCAATTCATAGAGTATTCTCAGAGGAACAGTCCCTCAGGCGGACACTAATCTGTGTGTGAAGGGTGGCTGGGTACCACTGTGTACCAAGGACGTGCCCAGTGGAGCCAAGGGGAACAGGCAGCTGGGCCAGGTGGGGCACTGCCCCAGAATCTAGTACCTGCACAAGGTGCAGCTCCACAGCTCCCTCTCACGGGGACTTAGCCACATGATGCCACCTCTGCCCTCATCTGTAAAGTGAAGGGGTATCTTTCATGTGAGGGGAAGACAGCCCCTTCTACAGGAATTCAGAGGAGGGGGATTGGGGTGCTCAGGGGGTGGGTACCAGCTGGGATCTGCAGTAAGGCTGCAGAGTGGGTCCTCACTTAGCCCGGCAGCTCCCAGTGTGGCTCTCATATGGTGGGTGCTCGCCACCATGAGTGGGCATGCACACAGGGGCAGCGTGTCCCCTGCACTGGGTGCCCCTCAGGGTAGGCCTGGCTAGCTCACATGTGTGCCCCAGCCCAGCCCAGCCCGGCTCTGTTTGAGATGGGGCTGGTTAAATGCAGATTCAGTGATTCTCTTGGTCCTCCTCCCCAACCTCTCATAGCGGATGGGGGTGGGAAGTCTGTGGAATGTGACCCCGGGAAAAGTCCCCACAGGCACACACATGTAGCATCTTCAAAATCATCCCCCTGGAATGTCTGTCACAAACCAAATCTTTTTATCTACTTTGGGGACACAAAACCTTTCATTTTAGTATAAGGTGCCTCTGAGTGACAAGAGGGGCCATCCGGGACTCCACCCACAGGAGCACATTGTCCAAGGGACCCTGGGAGCAGGGAAATCTCTAGGGGGTCCTAGACTGAGAAGGAACATCGCAGCCCCCACACAGTGGCTTCATTCATTCTCTCAGCAGTGCCTCCTGCCGGCCAGGTCATGGTCCCTGACCTCATGGGACTCGGTGACTCAGGGAGTTTGGCAGCCCATGTACCAACAGCAGCAGTACGGTGCCCTTCATGCTTCTTTGGGGAATTGTCTGGGGCTCTGTAGGCCAGGATGGGGAAGGGTTTGCAGAGGAGCTGACCTTGAGCAGGGTCACCTGGGAAGGGAGCCAAGTGGAAGGGCCTGTGCGAGCCCAGACGTGGGTGTTGTGGTGGGAGCACGAGGCTGTTCTCAGTGTGAGCAAGCAGGGGCAGCCAGAGGGCTTGGGGTGGGCCTGGGAAGGGCTCTGGGCTGACCAGGGCATTTGGGCTTCATCTCAGGGAAGAGGAATCCCAGAGGGATGGAAGCAGGGGTGAGAGCTGTCTTCTCCAATTTGAGTTTTTGGTGGAATTTTCTGGCTGCAGCTGGGGATGGGCAGGAAAGGATAGAAGGGGGACAGGAAGACAAGGTTGAGAGGCCATTGCAACCAGCCAAGTGAGAGCAGGACTGGGTTTGGGCAAAGGGAAGTGTAGGCCATGGGGGTAAAGGACGATTCTGGGTGTCAACATGAAACCAACTAGAAAGTGATCAGGTAGCTCTCAGTCCACTGTGTAATAGGCAGATGAGTGCTATCCACTGCTGCAGACGGCAAGGGGAAAGACCCCGGCCCAGGGCTGCATCCGCCGCTGGTAAATTTATGGCACTCAGCAGAGAACACGCCAACCTGCCATATGCCTCACATCCACAGCACATGTGCCATGTGCCACGTGCCCAGAGGAAAATCCTAATGGCAAACTCACCTCCCACAGTTTCCACCGTGACCCCCGTCCTGAGCCCCCTGGGGACCCCAGGTTTCTGTAGTTCAAATCGCTCCCCACATGTGGCCTCCTTCCCGGGGGGTCTTAGCCAGAGGGAGGCTCCCTTGGCTTCTGCACAGGAAAGAGCCAATAAATAAAGACAGATTCCCTCTAGGTAGTGACATCTGGAAAAGAGATGAACAGAAATAAGCCATTTTAATTTAAAAAACACCCGAAGGCTGTCATCTCAGTTAAGACAGCTAAAGGGGCCAGACGGGTTGGAATCCCAGGGGGGACATGGGGAGGCCTGGGTGAGCAGGGCTGTCCCGCTTCTGCAGAGAAACCAGGATGGCCACTCTCCAAAGCTCCAGTGCCCACTCCCCAGGGGGAAGGATGGGGAGACCCTGACTTTTCAGCAGTATTTTGAGATCAGATTTGGGACTTGACTGGGCAACAAGTACCCTTAAAGAGATGAACAAATTGCCCGTGGAACGTGGGGATCTGCTCTTGGAGAGCAGCCCATGGAATAGTTAAAAATGGACTTCAGGGGTCAGGGCTGTAGCTCAGTGGCAGAGCGCTTGCATAGCATGGGTGAGGCACTGGGTTCAATCCTCAGTACCACATAAAAATAAAATAAATAAAATAAAGGCATTCTGTCCGTCTACAACTATAAAAAAATTATTTTAAAAAAAATGGACTTCAGGGACAGACCCAAGTTCAAAACCAGCCCTGCCACTTACTGATCTTGTGATTTTGGAAACGGCTTCAGACCTTGGTTTTGCTAATGTGATAAATGGGGATAGTGATAAAATCCTTGAAGGATGGTTGTGATATTTTAAATAGTGACAGTAACACAAATGGCCCACCACACCCACCCAAGCCCTGGCTGTCCCACTCACTGTTTTAGAAATTAAAAATCCGAAGAGTGATGACTTGCCCAGGAGCACTGAGCTCATCCAGGGCTCTGACAGCCAGGAAAGATCCGAGTGTCCTGAACACTGTCCCCCGCAGCCCACCTTGCTGAGGGGCAATTTACCCAAGTCACCTCTCAGTGCTCCGTGAAAACACTGCCCAGATCAGACCGGGCAGCTCGGTCAGCAGCCCAGAGCAGCTCTCCCTCCCAGCCCGCCTGCTGGGTTGTCTCAGTGGTGTTTCCGGTCTCCTGCCTGCTGCCCACTCAGCCTGTTCCCATCCCCTGACATGTTAGTCACCTTTGTCACAAACTTGTTCTCTCTCTCCCTGCCAGAGTTCCCAGAGCTTCTGTAACAGAACAGTTCCCAACCTCTCTAAATCCCATATTGCATTTAGTTGTCACACTTCCTTGGGCTCCTTTTGCCTGTTTCTCAGTTTTTTCTTTGTTTTTGAAGATCTTAATGGTTTTGAGGTGCACTCAAGAGTATTCTTGCAGAACATCTCACTGGGGTTCGTGTGAGATTTTTTCTCATGATAACGTAGGTTTTGGGTTTGGGGAAGGAAGACCATAGAGGTTAAAATGCCATTCTCATCACATCACATCAAGGACATATCTGTCAATGTGATTTGTCACTGTCAATGTTGACCTTGATCACTTGGCCAAGGCAGAGTCGGTCATGTTTCTCCACTGCTCCACTGTAAAATTACTTTTTTAAAAAAAATCTTAGCTTTTTAGAAAAATTAAATTGTTTCTTACTGTGACCCTGTGGAGACTCTCAGGTGACATGGCTTTCCAGTTTGCATGAGACCTTCTACATTTCATCTGTACCACACAGCAGCTCGTTTCTTGCCACAGGCCCTGCCCAAAGTGCCCCCAGAACACCTTGTATTAAAGACAAGAGGCCAAACCAAGATTTGCAGATGGGGAACCCGAGGCCCAGAGAAGAGAAAGGTCTATTCAACGTTGCACCACAGTTTGGGGGAGTGGGATGGAAACAGAGGTCTCTGTGGCTCTTTCCAGTATCATCCATGCTGGACCACAGGGTCCCTCCAGTTGTCACAGGGATTCACTGCTTCCCTCATTCCCATGATTCCCACTGTGTGCACTTCATCTCTAAAAGATACCTACCCAGGGAGGGGAGGAAGGCACTTCTTGAGCTCTAGCCAACCCTCACAGTCTGCATCCAGACTGTCCATTGCTAAGACAGAGGCAAATCACCTTAGACCCCCAAATCCAACACCCGCTCAGCTGAAAGCTCTTGTACTCACTTCTACTTGGCTCTCTGTCTCAATTGAAGCCAGAAGTTTCTAGTGTCACTGGTACATAGAGGGATTCTCGTGGCTGTCCCTCAGGGAGACAGTGTGAACTTTTTGTCTTTGTCCTGGCTGCTTCAGAAATCAAAGCTAACTTAGATGCAGCAGTTAAATCAATGCAACATTAAATTCTTCTGGCTTGTCTTACAAACCCACTTCTGAAATATTATGTACATCCATGCCCAGGATCTTGCTCTAATACTGAAGCACATTCAGTAACCCCTCTTCTACCTGCCCTTTGCCCTTTAAGGGTTTGTTTTGTTTTGTTTTGTTTTGTTTTTGGTGCCAAAGATTGAACTCAGGGGCACTCAGCCACTGAATTACATCCCCAGTCCTGTTTTGTATTTTATTTAGAGACAGGGTCTCACTGAGTTGCTTAGTACCTCGCTTTTGCTGAGGCTGGCTTTGAACTCATGATCCTCCTGCCTCAGCCTCCCAAGCTGCTGGGATTACAGGGATGTGCCACCATGCCTGGCTGCCCTTTAGGTCTTGCAACAGCCTTTGGTCCAACATCATGTGATCCAATCTGATTCACTATGGGAGTTAGTCCCTCTTCTCTGCTTTTTCCTTCCTGGGCAGCCTGAGACTGTTAGCAAAATACTGAGGGAGGAACAGAGGTTTCAATGTAGGGTGACTTAGAACCCAGCCTCCAAGGAGACCAATGGAACCTGCAAGCCCCTTAGGACAGGTCTATAACTTATATAAACCTCAGTTCCTAAAAGAGGAGTTGCCTGTAGGTAGCTGGAGGGTGGAGAAAATTCACTTAACACAGGGAGCTGGTGGGCTCAGTTCAACCCTCTGTCCCCAAGACTCAG